TTCGGACCCATATCAGGTCATGTTGCATCGGTGCCGAGCCGAAGGCCCTGGGGGGGCTGACCTGGTGTTTCTTGCGAAGCAGGAAGGTCAGGGGGACTTCTTTTACATGTATGAGTGTTTTTTCCGAGAGCTAGGCATGTCCCTCCCTTTGGACGATTTCCAAATGGGAGTACTTCGCGTATTGAACGCTGCGCCGACCTAGTTGCATCCGAATGGGTGGGCTTACATGCAAGCGTTTCGAGTCCTTTGTAAATACCACTATATAGAGCCTAGTGTAGGTCTATTTTTGCATTTTTTCTGTACTCGGCCATCAAATAAATCAGTTAAGTGGCTTTCCTTAGTTAGGCATGCCGACCGGACGCTTTTGAGGCCTTTTACTTCGTCTTTCAAAGGGTTTAAATCGAGGTTTGTGAAGGTCATCTTAGACCCCGTTGCTAGCCAGAATTTCTTTTATGATGCCGAGCAAAAACCTTTGTTTCCTTTCTACTGGACCCAGACAACTCGGAAGTACGATGACTTTCCGATGGAAATGATGACCGAGGCTGAGGTATATATATATATATATATATATATATAAAAGACAGGTTTTTATTCAACAAGACAGAGGCTTGATCTCATAACTGGTTTGTGTCACTTAGCTAAACTGAAATTGGTGACCCATTCCACAAATAAATCCACTTGCAACGCAAGTGATAATTGATTATCGTTCTCCTTTTCTTCAACTATATGATATGGTAAGATGGAGATCGACATTAATCTTGAAATATATAGAATTAAAGTTGAAATAATGTTTTATTTTATTTTTGGACTAACTAGTCTTATTCATCTTTGTGTCATGTGGAGGACATTGCTTATTGTTCCTGCTTAGAAACACTCCACTTGTTGCTCCTTCCTTGTGATCTTCCAAGTCTTCGGAGTCGACCGAATACTATCTTCAAAGGGTGGGGAGGGTACCTGCAAAGGCACTCCGACGATCAAGTAAGTGTTCGGTATAGAACAATAAAGACTTTTATACTAGATAAATCGTACCTCTTTTCTATCCCATCACCTGCTATAATTTAAATTTTTCTCTTGGGTTTTTAGTTAAGGGCTAAGATTTCATCGGATAAAAACTTTACATGAAAAAATCCAAACTTTTTTAACTTGGCAATTTTCAAAGTTTCAATTATTACTATAGTAAACATCATAGTTCTTAAAACAGTTAGACCGAGAATTGATGACAAATCCAATAACTAACAAGAATCTGGGTGTCTAAGAACCAATCAAAAATTGGTTGAATTAGTCCAAAATTGATAAAAAAAAATCGGTGTAAAAAATCAAAATTTGAATCGATCCTGATTAAAAAAAATATTTTTTTAAGATTCTTTTTAAAAAAATTATTTATTGATTTTTAAAAATAACTCAAAACATTTTGAAGCTAAATAAAAATATATATTTATAAGGATTATAAATAAAAATAAATTATTTTATCTATTATTTTAATGCTTTTCTTTTAAAAAATACTAGTTGAATTATTTATAGTTTTTAAAATTTATAATATATTAATTTAACTTTTTATTCTAGATGTAGACTTGTTATTGTTAATGAAATTTTTTTTATATATTTTATTTTAAAATTTTGAAATTAAATATTTATTATATTTAATTTGGACTTTTATGTAAATATTGAATTATAGAAACTCATAAATAATTTTTTATTTTAATTTTTAATTGTAAAATCAAAAGACGTTGTATCCTTCGAGGCTATAAGTTTTAATGATAACAAATAAAATTTTTCAAGAAGACTATTTCAAATGAAGTAAACATCATATTTCGTCTATAAGACGAAGGACATCAGATGAAACACACAATCTAAATCAATGCTATATTTATTTCTTGTTAAAAATTAATATTATATTTTAAGAGTATTGAATACCTTATTCCTTAATAGATCGAATGAAAAAGCTTCCTCAAAGACATCAAAAATTGCTAAAAATGGAAAGTTAAATCCTTATGTCAGCCTATAGAAGTTAATGAAATTTTGAGTCAGATTGAACTTAAAAAGATTTAAGCTTAAAATTTATTAGGCTAACCTGTCATTTATATTGGGCTAAGCTAGCCATTAGGTTTGCTTCGTTTTGACACATCTAATGCTCCCTTCAATTTGTGATAACCTAAATCTATAACATGTTTTTAGGCCTTTTAATTAAAATAATCAATTCATAAACTTACAACATATGACAGTTTATTATGAAATTTGTATTTAAACAAAAAATGAAATAATTGGTCCAATGAAATTGCTTATGTATTTAAGAGAGAGGGACGAAGGTTGTGTGTAATAACATTTTGCCTTCTACCTTCCCTAAGAGGAATAAATTTTCTCATGTGAAATTTTCATTTAATTTTTTTACGTAAAATTTTCTTTGCTACCATTATTATTATCATAACCACCACCCTATTAACATTGTTATGTAGTGACGATAACAATGACAATGACAATGACAACAATGGTGACAATAGTGATGGTTTTGACAATAGGTGGTAATAGTGGAGGCAATAGTAAGAATATTGTAATAGGAGTGTTTATAGCTGAGTTTTAATTTCAATCATTAATTATTTTTATCTATAATTTAAAGGCTATTATTTACCTCTCTCATCTCTCATAATTAGACATGTTCTCCTTGAACACACACACGAAAATGTGGGAATGTATAATGTTGTATTAATTATTTTTCACAAACCTTTCACTATGACAAAATAAAACATCATGTTTATATTCTTTTATCACATTTTTGTTGTTCTTTAGACCATTTATGTTTTTTTGTGCATTCAAGTATGCTTTTTTTATTTCATTGAGTAGTACCTTTTAAAATATAATGTAGCGTGTTTTTTCAAACTTTAATAGTATTTTATAGAAAAGCATAAAATAATTTTTATTTATCGAACATTGAAATTATTAGAAAATTTTAAGAAATTTGTTATTTAAAATGATGATTAATTTTATATTGTTGAGGTTGTCTATTAGGTGTAAGATTTTGATGATATCCCATTATATTTTTTAGGTAAATAATCATTTGAGGCATTCTCATATTGATCTTCAAATCCCCACTATATTAAGCATAGTGGGTTAATACAACTTTTTTTTAATTGTGCGTACTTTTGGGGTAGAACAATTTACGATAAGCATGTTAGCAAATTAAAGAACACCAAATGTATAAATTATGTATATGTGCATTAACTGGCATAAGGATTCCTTGTTAGCACCAAAAAATTGGCAACAAATTAATTCATCTCTAGTAGTAATTAAATAATGATAATGAATATGCAAATTTTTAGTTTGTTGTTGTGATGAAGGATGACTTAATAACATTTCAAAAGATTCATATAATTCTTCCTTGATGGTAAACTCCATAACCTTAGATTTTGATTAGGTCATCCTCAAATATGTATGATGCATATTACTATGTAGGCATATGAAAATCAAAATGTTGAGTAACATTAGCAAAGTGGGTAACATTTGAAAATGGTCTATTGTGTAGGTCTTAAAAGTCTTTTAGTAATGACAAAATGAAACTTAAATTGTTTTTTATGTACCAATTCATATTCTATTTTTGACAATGATTGATCCTTAGCACTTGGTCCTTGCAATATAGAATTTTGAATTCTCTAATATAGAAGTCAATCTTTGTGCATCTAAGACCAGTTGAAGTAGTGATTGCCACACATGTTAAAAGTGTGGATATCATTGAGTTTGAATAAGTCTCTAGTAATACTTTACTTAAGGACAAGTTTACATCTAATTCATTTTGTTTGATGCCATTCAATAATTGATAAATAAATTAAAACCACACAAGAGCTCCGAATGTTGCCATCCCAAAAGACATGCCAAAAAAGTTTATTTCATAACTATATATGACATCTACATAAATTGAAAATTCATATTTAAATAATGAAAAAATAACTATAAGAAGTTGTGTGGGTTATAATTAACGTTACTAGGGGAACCTCAATTTGGTTCTTATTAAGTGATGACCATGTGTGTACCCATTGATGTCATGTCTAGATATTTAATGTACTAATATAGTCTATTAATTAAGACCACCTAATAAAGGAATTAGTCTGATTGGTTGTTTACTATTTAGAGACTACTTTTTAATATGAGAGACTAATTTAACCAAATTTTATAATTTTAGGGATCAAATAATGATTTACTTCTAAAAACATGTTTGATACAAAAAAAAATTTAACCAAGCCGTTTAACACAATAGTTGTAAGGCCTACCTTGAGACATGAGAGTCGACTTGGTGTTTCCAACATCTATTCTCACAATGTTAAGATAATGCTTGACTAGCTAAACTTACACCTCACAAACACAAATTAATTTTTGGTTGTTAATTTTGAGATATTGTATTAACTATGTCTATGAAAAAACACACACATATACACACATAAAACCTCACATGTAAGATGACACTTAACATGTCAAAATAAACACATAACATATCTATATATCAAATTAAAAATTCAATTAACTATTATTACATACTAATAATATAAAATACAAATTATTTAATTTTAAATATAAGCTGTACAATTTATAAAATTATAAGTGTTTTTGGATCAATTTAATTTGTCATAAAAAAACAAAGGATGTCATTTAATGAGTTAATATTTTTTTTTGTTAAAGCCACTAATTTAAGTATATAGTTTATTCATTAAATAAAAATTTCTTTATAACAAAAAATAACTAGCTATATTAAATGCACAAACACGCTTAAGTGATACTAAAACACACAAAGAAAAAACACATTTTAGTAATTTAATAAGACAAAATGAATGGTTTCAAGTAGTCTAAAATTACAATTCACTTAGACCAACTGAATGTTATAGTCAAAATACCAATGCTAAATTCACTCTCGACCAAACAAGTGAAAGCCTCTTTCCAGTTGAGCATGTTTTGAATTTAAATCTATTATGACCCCACTCATCTCTAATTTGTCACATGGAACTTTCTCTCCGAAATGTGTGCCTATTCTTTCAATGTAACTAATAGTCTGTACTATAACCAATTAATTCAACGAGGGGATAAATAAATTGAATAGTAAGTCACAAGTTATTTGCTCCTTTCACTTGTGACTTCCATTGTTCTTTAACACTTGGGAGAGAGGCAGAAATATAAGGAACATGCATCATCAAGCAATGAAAAGCAACCTTGTTGATTTAGGCACAGAGAGAAAAAGGGTTGGATCACAACCCCTTTGTCCAAAGCCTAGAAAGCTTTCACCTTCAATACCTGAATTCCTCAAGCCAATTAGGTGTACCAAACACAGGTTAGATTCATTTTCTTTTAACAAAGAATATTGTGACAATACATTGTTTGTCACATTCTTTTTAAAAATTTATAATTGGTTGAAATTTACATGAGGATTAACTATAAATTATATTCTTATTGAGATTCTTGTAAATTTCACTTAATAATCAATATTTTAAAGAAAAATAGTATTTTGTGAACACCAAATACTAGTATACATTATACACAAGAAAAAAGGGAGAAATAATAATGTGATAAGTAAATTAGAAAAAATAATAATAATTACACAAGAAGATGAGAAAAAAAAGGATAAATAAGAAGTGCAAAATAAGTGTTTATATTATTGATATGCCTTTCCATGAATATTTCTGTTATTATCTTTATTCTTTCAATAGAATAATTCGTTTCCTTTTGTGAACTTGCTTATGATTTTTCATTGTTTTGATCAGTCAACCAAATAATATTAATGGTGGAAGTGGAGTTCTCAGTATGATCACAGAAAAGGTTTTGGTTTTATTAAATCAATATAAAAAAGTAATTAGCAAGTAGAAATGGATTGAATACATTATTTGTTGATGGTGGTTGGTGAATGTTTATGTAGAATGCAGATGGAAGAGAATTCCTATGTAATGGGTGTTTACCTTGTTATTCTGGCTCTCCGCCACGTCGAACAGAGAACCCGTTGGTCCATGATGTGGAATTTCTTCATCAGGTAGAAGTTGTTTCACCATTGGCACGAACCAAACTATCAGATAAATTTGGTTTCACATCTGCTTCTCCCATGTGAACCAGAAAATTGGAAAAGAAAGTAGCATTATCCCAGGAAAGAGTTTACACAAATTCTCCTAGTGTAGAAGTAACATTATTTAAGGGGTTGTTGTAGAAGAAGATGAGTCACATGTCCTTAATGCTTAATATGTAAATAAGTAATGTGAGTGATCATCATAGACTCAGAGTGTGGTTATGTATATAACAAATTTTGTTGTGTATGCCAATATGGCAATATGGTGAATTGGTTATATATTCAGGACTATTTAGGTAGATTAAATTAGGATTTAATTACTTTGTTATTGTAAGTTGTTTTAGTTTAATTAAATTTTAAATATATCCTTATGTAGTTCAAATACTTTTAATGAGGTCTTTATATATATATATATATATATATAACTTTTACATGAATGAATCTTTATTAATCGCTTATTATTAATAAAAATTGTCACTTTTTTTTACTAAATTTTAGGGTTTTATTTAAAATTTAAATAAAATTATGTTCATCTATTTTAACATGTTGATTATTTAATCTAATGTTGATTCATATATTTAAGAAATGACTTTTAATGAAAAGATGTCTAATGTGATAGTTGTTAAATTTAAAATATATTAAGAGTCATTGGAAATTATTTTAAAGTTATTAAAATTAATTCCCTCCATTCTCTCTTTATTAAGAGTAATATTGATAATAAAGAAAAATAATTTAAAAAATGAAGTTATGGAAGTTAAGAAGCAATTTTACAAAAGGACAACCTCTCTCTTTTTCAAGATCATGAATTGTTGTTCTCATAAGAGGATTTTGTTAGAAATTAGAGAATTACCAAAAATTAGACAAAAGAGATTTCAACACCATCATAGAGACAAAGTAAAAGGAAGTAAGTAAGTAACGGGATAACAACTTATAAGAAATTTTGAATTGCATTATGGATCCTGATATGTTTTCTAAACTTTCTTATAGAAATTATCTATAATAATATATAAATGCAATATAATATTTTCGTGTGCACATTTTGAAGATATTTTTACACTTTATTTATTTTGGTAACTGTACAACATTTTCTTTTACTATAGAATAATTCAATAATTTTATTTTATTAATTTTTAAAAAATATTATTTATCCAAAACAATTATTTCTTTAATAGATTGCAAATCAACTACAATTTTTTAACTTTCTACATGAACAACAATTTTCATAAGACATGGAGTGCCTTTATTTTGCTAGTGGAGTATAAGAATAGTGAGAAACATATGTTATCTAAGATCATTTGAGTGTAATTCTCTTGAAGGATGAACCCTATGAAATTATACATGATCATAAAATTATTAACATTTGGTATCAGAGTAAGGTTAAGGATAAGATATTTCTCCATCAAAGTTATTTTTATTACTTTGTGATAGATATATACATTTTTATTTGCAATTGAGGTAAGTGAAAATATTTTAATATGAATTAATTATAGTTTACTTCACTTTGTTCAATTTGCTTTACTATACACAATATATAAAATTAGAATTGATAGAATTGCTTTACGTAAGTGTTATATGTATTTGCTTTACTGTATGTCAAAAAGAAAGTATGTGAAATTCTTTTAATATGAAATGCATTGCACAGTAAATTACATTATGTTATTAGAAATGTTTTGCATGATTGCATTTTGTGATCAGAAGGGAGTTAGATCAATCATGAATTGTGATTCTCCCAAAATTTATTTGTGTATGTGACCAAAATCACCATAGTGTGCAATGAAGAAAGATAAAAGAAAAAAAAATAATTATAAAATTATTTTTATGTAGAAATTAGTGCTTTTGGAATTATATATTAAAGTAAGGCATGTTAATCACTAAAGTGATTTAATTTATGAGTTTATATATAATTTTAAATTACATAATTGATTAGAATAATAATGTTTTATAATTAATATGTTTGTGTTATTTAAAATTGTTAATTATAAGGCATACATAGATTACCTAAAGGTGAATTATTGCTTATAATTAATGTTATTAAATATTTGTTTTCATGTTTGTTGAGTGTGTGTATATCCAAAGATAACATGCTTGTCAAGTAAAGTATGATTTATTGCCCATTAAAATATAATTTATTTAGCATCATTATTCATGTAGATATGTATTTAATTATCACCCAAAGGTGAACTTAGATGCATGATTAAAGTTGATGTAGTTTGAATCTATTAGTTTTACTCAAACCATTAATGTGTGAGTTTGTTTAAATGTATGTAGCTATGTCCAATATGCTCGTTTTGGGTAGCTTAATGATCAAGTTCAATAGGGTGAATTATGCTGATTGGTTTAAAATGATCTAGTTTCAACTTGGTATAATGGATCTAGACTTAGCATTGATAATGGATAAAAATCATTCAATCATTATAGAGACCATCCGTGATGTTGATAAGTCTCTATATGAGGCTTGGGAGTGGTCTAATAGATTGACACTAAATTTGATGAGACTAACCATAGCTACAAATGTGAAGCCATCTATGCCCAAAATGAATAATGTAAGAGAATTTATGAAATTGGTTAAGGATTACTCACAATCTAACATTACTAAAAAGTCAATTATGGGGAATCTATCAAGTGAATTGAAACACAAAAAGTTAGTTTGGTCTCAACTAATTCATGATCATGTGACAGAAATGCTAATTTGACAACAAAGTTAAATTCCATGTGAATGAAAGTAAATGAGTCTTTTCTAGAACAATTTATTTTGAACTCTCCTCCAATTGAATTTGGCCAATTTCAAGTGAACTATAACACTCTTAAGGAAAAATGGAATTTTCAAGGAATTAAGGTTATGTTAAATTATGAGGAAAGGAGGTTAAAGAAAATGAAGGACAACTCAATTCATCTCATAACTCATGATGGAGCTAGTACAAGCAAAAGCAAGCTAGGTAAGAAGAATAAAGGCAAATTCCAATTAATGGTTAAAGATGAAAGAAGTTTGTAAAAGAAATGTTACTTTTGTAAACAAAATGGTCACTTCAAAAAGGAATGACTGAAAGAAAGAAATGGTTTGAAAAGAAAGGTATGTTTTATATATCTATAAATTTTGAATCAAATCTTGTTAAGGTACCTAATAATACTTGGTGGCTTAATTCTAGAGCAACTATTCATGTGTCACATATTATGTAAGGATTCCTTTCAATCCAAACTATACGAGGAATTGAAAAGTTTTTGTATAGGGGAAAAAGAATGAAGGAAAGAATAAAGGGCATTGAAACGTACAAATTAATCTTTGACACAATATGTCACATAGATTTGGAAGGATGTCTTTATGTACCTATATGTACTAGGAATTTAGTTTCTACTGCAAAGTGGGATCAATTAGGTTTTAGTTTCAAGATTGAAAACAATATATTTTCTATGTTTAAGGGTATGTACTATTATGGATCTAGTATTTTAATAGATGATTTGTGTTGTTTCAATCTTGATGTAAAGTTTAAAGAATCCTTGTTTAATGTTGAATGTGTTGTTAGTTGCAAGTGTTATATACATGATAATAATTTTTCTTATTCGGTGAATTGGTTTTTAAAACTTTCTTGCACAACTATCTTAGTTTCTAAAAACTTTTCTCAAATTTTCTAAAGAAGTGTGTTGACTTATAGCCTTTTGATGAGTCATTATTTTCCCTTATTTATTTACCTTTTTTGTGCTTATTTTAATTGATGATTTGGGCTTAATCTCTTATAATTGCACAATTTCATTATTTGGGTTTCATTGGGCCAGTAATTTGAATTTTAATTAATTCCAATTCTTTTGGACTTCAAGAGATAAAGTGTCACGTCAACACCACATTGCCATGTCAGTGCCACATCAGCAACATATTTACATTTTTGTTAACCTTATTTTTGTAATTTTGGGCCAGACACAAGGGCAGGGGGGGCCATTTTGTGTTTTTAGGTCTTAGGTCTAGGTTAGGGCTGACCTAGCAGCCACTAACCTAAAGAAAACTGATGTGACCACGTTTTGTTCATGCTTCCCTTCCTTTACGTTTTTCTCTCCTCTGTTTTGTATCTCCATTCATGTTTGCTTCTCTGGTTGTATTTTCAGACTTCATTTTCGTTTGAATGAATACATATTGTTATTTTCTTCTTCTTCTTCTCCTTCTTCCTTGCATTTTCGTTTTCATTTATGTTTTAATGGAAGGCTAAAACCCTTGGGGTTGGCTCCTTGAGAGGATTGTAATCTCTGTTTGAGGTTTTATTTCTATTATGCATCTTGTAACACCCTAGTTTTCATACTTTTTATTGAGGATAATTTAGTAGCCTAGAACAGGCCGTTCCAAACTACAAAAAAAGACCTATTTTTGGTTGCCCAGAACGGGCCGTTCTAGTTTTTAGAACGGGCCGTTCCAGATGTGAATTTTCCACATGATGAAAGGATCCAGAACGGGCCGTTCTGGATCTAAAACGGGCCGTTCTAGCCACTCTTGAAATCTATGAATAGAGCACTCTAGCATTGTTTCTGGATACATTCTCTGAAGACCAAGGAGAACCAAGATAAGGAGATCAGCCAGATTCTGCTCTAGCTTCATCTTTTGCTTATCCAGGTAAAGAGGGGAGTAAGAAACCTCGCTTGGGGGTGTGGGAATAATTGTTGGGTTGTAGGATTGGCCCCCAATTACTTGTCTGGTGCATGCTTCTAGGAACAGGAAAAATATAAATATTTTCTATTTTGCTTTCTAAATGTCTTGTTGTATTCCTTGCGTGATGTTGAGTGTAAAGATGTTTTTAATTTCAAAAATAGATAAGTTTTGATATGAATTAGAGTACTATGTGGGTTCTTGTGAGAACCTTATGAGAAACAGACAAAATGTGAATGTTTTATGTTTTTCTTTCTGATTCTTCTATTGTGTTCCTTGTTGAATGAGATGTATGAATATGTGATTAATTTTGAAAATAGATAAGTTTTGATATGAATTAGAGTGCTCTATGGGTTCTTATAAGAAACCCTTTGAAGTAAAATTAGGAATATGATCTTTGAATGATTTTGATGCAATATATGTAAAATTGATGATGGCTTCATGTTTTGGATAATTACTTGGTATGATTTATGTATATGACTGCGAGAAGTTTCTTGAATGAGACTATGTGAACATGATGTGAGAATGTGAAAGGTGAATGTATGAACTGTGATATAATATTGTGAAATAATGTGACATGAGATATGTTGGGTCAATGAAATCGTGAATGTATGACATGCATCATTTGTATTTATGAGCTAACCAGGTGTACCTTGGGTCACCAAGTGATGTAACCAGCTAATCAGGTGTACCTTTTG